AAAGCTGTCAAACCTCGAAATAATGAATCAAGGATTAGATCGCAATGAAGATAAAGTTTAAGAAAATAAAACAAAGAGTTGGAACATCTGAAGGAAAATTGGTTCTAGATTGGAAAGGTCCATACATTGCAACAAGAGCACTGCCAAAAGAGTGCGTTGTACTTGGGACACGTCAAAAGAAATGTCCCTGAAACAACTATCAATGTAAATGCAGTCAAAAGGTACTATGTTTGATCCTCCATATAGCATTAATATTCTCCGGTTAGAATGAAGAAGGCTTTTATTCTCGCTACCCAAACACTATCAACCCTTTACAAACCCTTTGAGTCGGTTACCGTTCCTTGACTACCCTCATTGGAACCTAAAAGTGTCATTGAAAAAAAAAAGAAAAAATAAGAAGATAAAAAAGAAAGAATTGGAAAAATGAAAAATGAAATAGAAGGAAAAAAAAAGGAAGAAAAGACAAAGAAAATGAAATGAAAAAGGAAAGGAAAAATAAAGAGAAAACAAAATAGAAAAAAAACAAAAAAAATCCAAAAACAAAAGTTTCCTGAACTACGTTCGACTTGATTCTGAAAGGATACGTAGGCAGCCTCTCTCTGGGATTCAGTCACACCAAAATAAAAATTCAAAGTCCCCCAAAAAGTGAAACTGGGGCAGAAGTTATAATGGTTCGACAATGATCCCGCCCAAAAGGTTCCAAAGTTATAATTCAATCCAAATTCTTTTTACCCCAAACCTTGTTCAAGTCCTTCTGATCAATCGGCAAAGAGGTTCAAAATGGGAAGATGGAGTTATTTGGATCTGATACAACAAAATGAGAGGAATAAATGAGAGAGTCTTATTGGTGAAAAACCACACGGGCACCGTAAGACGATGGTAAGCAAAGAAAATCAAAATGAGAGAGTCTTGTTAGTGAAAACCCACACGGGCACTATAAGACGCTGGTGAGAAGAAAAATGAGAGAGGTCAGCTAGTGAAAACCTGCAAAGGATCCCACTAATCGAAAAGAAGATCCTCACAGCCATCGGCATCGACAAAATCCTGGCAAGGTTTCTCGAATTTTGAGGCAAAGTTGTGATGAATTTCTGAGAGTCGGACGGTTTACACAGATCAGACATTCAGTCCAAAAGACATGTCATGTTCATTGAAGTCCGCATGTACTCCACATAAGTCCTTCTTTCCTTTCCCCGAAAGGGATACCTCTTGTCTAAATTCGTTTATCAATTCCTTTGTCTGTTTTCTTTGAATCCCTTTCGGTCTAACACTGTTTCAAAACTAAGACAAATAAAGGATGGCAAGATTGATTTACAGGGCTTTCGTTTGATACAAGCTAATGTTCAAAAGGCACCCAGCCTCGTTAGGGGCATCAAGTTGACCTCGACTGGCCATGGCGGCCGATGCTCCGAAATTGAAAACTTTTGGAAGGAGAAAATCAAATCGAAGTGCCTATAAAGACAAATGGAGTTGAAAACGTTGACTCCTATGTGGCCAACCATCTCGGCAAAAGTTTGAAAAGCCAAGGTACCAAAATGACCTGAAATTAAAGTTGGAAGAAAGAAGCCAAAATGAAAGGTCTACGAAGGCGAAATAAAGTTGGAAAGGTTAAGTCCCACGCGACTAGCCGTTGCAGCAAAGTTTGAGGAGCCAAAAGTTCCCCAATGTTCCGAAGAAAAAAATGAAAAAATGAGAGAAAAAAGAAAAAAAAGAAAAGTAAGTCAGAAAGGAAAGGCCTACGAAGGCAAAATAAAGTCGAAAAGGTTGAGTTCCACCGACAAACCATCAAGGAGAAATCTGAAAAAAAAAACAGAGGTTCTCAGCGCCTGAAATGAAATTGGTCCCCAGGAAACAAGCAGTTGCAATTGAGATCTTCATCAAAGAAGCTGGGCCGAGATCAAGCGATTGAGACAATCAGGGCCACAAAACCAACCACCGTTTCAAAATAACAATTGTTCTTTGTTTGAAAATTTGAAACAGGTGCAATCCAAAGCAACCGTGCAAGAAGTAGGTGCAAACAAAAGGAAAAAAAGTGCGCAAGTGCTAGAAACGACTTTGCAGCAACAATCCATAAAAAGGAAAGTCCCCTCCAATTTTTCTTTCCCGCATTTACTCATTTCAAAATAAAAAGAAGATAAGAAGAAAATTCAAAAAAAAATGGTAGCTTAGGATCCCCAACCTCAATCCTTTGCGCTTTTACCAACATTAGGGCTCCAATCCCTGAGTTGAGCTTTTTAGACATAGGGTCTCCATTCCCTAGTCGCCTNTCTTCTTTTGCCAACATTAGGGCTCCAATCTCTGAGTTGAGATTTTTTAGACATAGGGCCTCCATTCCCTAGTCGCCTTTTCTTTGCCAACATTAGGGCTCCAATCCCTGAGTTGAGATTTTAGACATAGGGCCTCCATTCCCTAGTCGCCTTTCTTGCCAACATAGGGCCTCCATGCCTCCATTCCCTAGTCGCCTTTCTTGCCAACATAGGACCTCCATTCCCTAGTTGAGAATTTTAGATATAGGGCTCCATTCCCTAATCTTTCCTCCTAAAGACGCACAATCCTTATTTTATCGCTTTAAAAAAAAGGTTTAGATTTTAGTTACAAATAACTCACGAAATTTTCCTAGTGAAAAGTGGGGCAGAAAAATTTCATTCATTTATTTGTTTTGGTGTCTGAGCAGGTTTGACCTCGAGGCACAAGATTCAGATGATCAAAAGAATGAGTCTCAATCCAGAATAAAGAAAAGAAGAAAAAGAACAAAAGTAGTGAATCCAAAGTGCTGAAGCGGAGAAAGAAGCGGACTGCTCAAGATATGATCGAAGTCACAAGCTTCGCGNGGCCAACATTAGGGCTCCAATCCCTTAGTTTTGCCTTTTTAGACATAGGGCCTCCATTCCCTAGTCGCCTTTTGCCAACATTAGGGCTCCAATCCCTGAGTTGAGATTTTTAGACATAGAGCCTCCATTCCCTAGTCGTCTTCTTTTGCCAACATTAGGGCTCCAATCTCTGAGTTGAGATTTTTTAGACATAGGGCCTCCATTCCCTAGTCGCCTTTTCTTTGCCAACATTAGGGCTCCAATCCCTGAGTTGAGATTTTAGACATAGGGCCTCCATTCCCTAGTCGCCTTTCTTGCCAACATAGGGCCTCCATGCCTCCATTCCCTAGTCGCCTTTCTTGCCAACATAGGACCTCCATTCCCTAGTTGAGAATTTTAGATATAGGGCTCCATTCCCTAATCTTTCCTCCTAAAGACGCACAATCCTTATTTTATCGCTTTAAAAAAAAGGTTTAGATTTTAGTTACAAATAAATCACGAAATTTTCCTAGTGAAAAGTGGGGCAGAAAAATTTCATTCATTTATTTGTTTTGGTGTCTGAGCAGGTTTGACCTCGAGGCACAAGATTCAGATGATCAAAAGAATGAGTCTCAATCCAGAATAAAGAAAAGAAGAAAAAGAACAAAAGTAGTGAATCCAAAGTGCTGAAGCGGAGAAAGAAGCGGACTGCTCAAGATATGATCGAAGTCACAAGCTTCGCGTGTCCCGCCTTGATCCAAAGCTGAAGAATGAACCAACGGTTACAACTGACGAGCATCAAGATTCAGATCGGAGTCTGCAGCAAGAACCAGCCAAGACTCGAGATCAAGCTTCAAGAGATTTATAGATAGGAATCTTGTAACTCGTAGTTGATAGGTTTAGCCAGCTTAGCTTTTATTTTTCATTTTGGTGTAATAAGGAGCTCAGCAAGCAGAAACAACAGCAAAAGTAGTGAAATCACAGTTTCTGGTAGACCCAGCTACCAAAACTTCCAGAACTACACTGATCTGATTCCTTTATAGCCAAGGATATGTAGGCAACCTCTGAAGCAGGGTTCGGTCAGGCTCTTTTCAAAAATGCTTCTCATAGAGTTTCAAACGGGCAAAAATCCCTCATATTGCTCACTTTATCTTTGCCTGAAAACTCTTCATGTTTCCGAGCAAAGAGGGGCAGCTGTAAGCACGTGATTTTTGCCCTATACGAAATACTCCTATAAAATCAAAGAAAATAGATTTTTTCAATTATTTGCCATTTTATAGGATTTTGTAGGATTTTTATTTAATTGTTTGCATTTTGTGCATGTTTACTGTTTATCTTAATCATGAAAAAATATCAAAAATATCATGCATTACATTTAGGATTTGTTTTTACATTTTTAGAATTAACCAGTAATTATTTGTTTTATAGAAATTCGAAAATCACAAAAATAGCTCATTTTTACATTTTTGTCTTTTAATTTTTAGCTTATTAATTTTTCTCTTTTAATTTAGGATCAAGTAGCTTTTATAATTTTTATAATTAGCTAATTAGTTTAATTTCACACTTTTGGATAATTTAAGATTTTTAATTTGTAGGATTTTAATTAAAAAAAAAGGAAAAATTAGAAAAAATAAAAAAAAGAATTGAAAAAAGGTTTGCCTTGTGAAATTGGGTCAACTCACCCAACCCATATCTGAACCAAAACTCCCCTTGACCCAAGCCCAAACCACCCATGACCCGACCCGGTTTGACCCAAGACCCTTTTAATTAAAACATAATAAAAGCTAAGACTTAGAAAAAAAAAGAAGATCAGAAGAGGAGATAGGGCAGACCCCTTAGAAATAGAGAGAAACGGTGCATCTAGCCCTTCTTCTTCTTCTTCTCCATTTCCATTTGTTCCTTCTTCTTCTCAAAATCATCTTCATTTCCCACACACTCCTTCGCGCTATCAATTTCACACGGATTCTAACCCTTTCCCAAGAGATAAAACAAAATCTTGAGTTCGAACCTTGTGAATCTTAGATCCGAAAGTAAGAGAACAGAGGAATTTTTGGGAGTAATGGGAACAGGAGATTTTGGGACTGAAATTCGAGAAAAGGGGGGGGGGGG